GTGTGCCCGCATGTATGCCTGCACGCTCCCCCCTTCCTCACTGCATCCAGGGGGATTTATCTGACCCCTTATTGCCAGCGGTGAGCCTGTGGCGGAGATGAAAGCATGCCTTCCCAGTGTGGCCCCAGTTTCTATAGCTATGGACACAGACTCACACTGGTCGGGGACAATGGAGGGGCCCTGCCACTCGCCCCCGCCGGAGCCCTCTCCTCTCCCCACCCCATCCGTCACCGCAATCATATTTTCAAAACAATAACACAGCCAGGAGGGAGGGGGTGGGGGGGGCATGATTGAAGTGTGTGCGTGTTTGATCTGTTGGTATGCGAGTGTGCGTCTGTGTGTGTGTGTGTGTGTGAATGCCTTTTGAGTGTGTGTGTGCGTCGTTATTTTTAGGCACGCGCTCGTTGGACTTGTGTGTGTGTGTGTGTCGGTCCACGCAGGCATTCGGGGAGCAACTGTGTGGGATGCCTACTTTGGTGTGTGCAGATGCAAGTGTGTGTGTGTGTGTGTGTGTGTGTGCGTGTGTGTGTGTGAGCCGGGGCCTTTGATGGCGTGGCCGGAGCGTGCCTAATGTGACTGCTTGCCGGGGTGGTGTGTGCGTGTGTGTGTGTGTGTGTGCGTGGAGCCTCCTGCCCTCGTACTGTCTACCCTGCCGTGGCCCAAGGCTCCCCCTGCAAACTTGAAAGGACCAAAGGACCCCCCCACCCCTCCCCCCCCCCCCACTAAACCCCCTCGACGCCGCCCCCCCACATGTTTTCAGAAGGGATGAAATCATTCTCTGCACAAAGGGGGCTGGGGCTGGGGTTAATATGGATGTATGCGTGAATGTGCGTGTGGTTGTGTGCGCGCGGGGTGCAAAACCCATCGGTCACAGCGCTCGGCTGCAGCGCCGGATTCGTCCTTTCTCTTCCGTCCTCTTGTCCTCTTGTCTTTCTGGGTCCCCCATCGGACTCCAACGGGCGGTCCGGCCCCCCCTTTTATGCATTTCTAAACATTTCCTCCTTTTATCCCGCGCTACCTGAACCCTCCAAGTCCACGTGCACGCACACACACACACACACACACACCAAGCCAAGCTGGGCTTTTTCTCTTCACGCTTCCTTTTCAGGTCCCTTTCACGTCGACGGCTGACATGGATTTGATCCCAAATGTCGTGTGAAAGGAAGTAAACGTCTCTCAGGTTCTCTGCCGGGCCGCAGGGCGCTGGACCCGTCGCTCCTCTGTCTCTCACCTTTCGCTCCTTTGATTCCTTTCCTCGGGCGTCGGCGTCGGCGCTCCTCGATCCAACTCTCTCTCTCCCCGGCTCTCTCCGCGTGCACCTCGACTTCCACCGGAGAACCTCAAGCGGCCGAGCGCTATCCAAACAAACGAGTGTGATTCATAACGGCGCGAGCAGGTCGACGCAGGAAGCATCTGGGTTGCAGTTCCAACCAAAGTTGGACAAATTGCTTTTCCCTTGACCTCCATCAGCAGAAGTCTTATCTCACCATGTTTTATTTGGCCCCGTCTGGGCGACAGGAGGAGGCAGCAAACGAAACTTGTTGAAGAGATCACATTAAATCACCGGCCGCCCGAGCAAGAAATCAAACTTCCCCAAAACGAGGGCCAGATGACGTGTCAGAAAAACGCCACATCTGCCCGGTCCTGATTAGAAGGTGAGACCACGCCCCCTTTTTGACCCGTCGGGGTAATTGAGGGTGAAGGCGCAGTCAAAGCCACCTGCGTGGCTAATGTCATGGCCACTGAGTTGTAACTGCCACTCCCAACACACACACACACACACACACACACACACACACACACACAAACATGAATCCGCACGCACACACAATCTGCACACGAGTTCCATATTTCCCGATTTCTTTTATCTCCCTCTCTCTTCTGTTCTCGGAGGTGAGGGCCCGTCGCCCCTCGCCTGTTTAATGGGCCGTTCCGTTTGCCAAACTTTTTTTAGAGGGTGCCCGAATCTTCGGGGCGTCCTGATGCCGGTATTTGGGAGTGAAGGCCGGTGCCGCTGGATCAGACAGATGGAGGGAGGGTGGGGGTGAGGGGGGGGGGGGGGGGGGGGGGGGTCCGGCTCCATTCATTTAGCTCTCTGAGAACAACAGAGGCCCACTTCAAACAACATGCACGCAACCTGCTGGCTCCATCGTCTGCGGGCCGCATACGCAGACTCACACACATGCGCCGCTTGTGCTCGGACACGTGTGCTTTGCTTACAACGTTCTGGACGTGCACATTTGAGGACAACGAAGCACCCAGAGATAAAGATGTCGCTGTTCACGCTGCACGGGCACCTCATCTGCCAGCCGGGCGCCACACGCATATGGACAGGGGGGGGGGGGGGGGGGGGGCATTAAAACAAAACAAAAAAAACATTCCCAACCCCTCCCTCCTCCGCTACCACACAGCCCCCCCTCCTGAATTCACTGGCACTTCCAAAAAGCTCCGAGGCGCCAGCGGAGCGGGGCTCATCTCTTGGGAACAATAAAGCCAGATCTTCATAAAAACTTCAAAAAGGCCTCGCCAAGTGTTTTATAGGTACTTTAAAGGTTTATGGGCCCTGGGGAGGGACGAGGGGGGAGTGGGGGGGGGGGATGAGAAATGAGTGATTCAGTAGTGGCAGGCTTCACTTTTCCCACCCACTACACACACACACACACACACACACACACACACACACAGAAACACACGCATGCTGGCGTACATGTGATGTGCTCTGCTGGTCCTCCAGTGAGGGCGGGGCTGTGACGGGCTGGTGGGGAGGTGGGGAGGAGGAGGGTGCTGGATGCGAGGGGGGGGGGGGGGGGTCAGGGATGAGCGGGAAACAGGTGATCAGCTGGTGCAGAAGAAGTTTGAAGTGCTTCGTGTGAGGTTCAAGCGTCTTTCTGTGTCTTTGAACCTTTTCCTTGAACACGTCTCCATCCAATCACATGTTTAGGCATACAAGGTAGTCCATCTTGGGTGTAAGTGTGCCTTATTTCCTGGTTATCATAAGCCCCCCCCGTGGCCCATAATCCTCTACAAACTCACGGGGCGGGGGTCAAGTCGAAGAGTGCGGAGGTGGGGCGCCCTGAGCCGGAGGAGATTGGGGCCTGAAGCTGCTGTTTTGCAAGCGCGCCGGTTTACCTGCACACAAACCGGAGCGCGGCTCCGACGCACCGAGCGGTGACCTCGCCCGGTGACCCCGCCCGGTGACGCCCTCCCGCCGAGGTGCTGACGGAACCTCCCCCCCGTCGAGTGGATCTCCGAGACGCACAGCTTCCCTTTGTTTGGCAGATGTGTTTTGATGAGTCACACGTCGCTGCGCTCACACACTCTCACTTTGAATGTGTTTTAAGTGCATGAATGGCCACCATTCAGGTCCTTTTGGGAATGTTTTCTTTTCAGGCATTCAGATGCACGCCAGGGTTTATATTTAGCTCGGGTCCTCCTGGAGTCAGAAGGTTTAAAATTAGGAGGTGTACAATTCTTAAGTTACCGTCAATAAACTGTAACGGGCTGCTCTTAAAGGCGCAGTGTGTTGGCCAGGATGCCCGGTACCGTGGTTTGTGTGTGATAAGCTGCCGGTGTGCGAATTTGTCTGGATGAAGTACAAAAGTGTAAATCCTCTGCGCGGTACACACACGTGTATTTGCTAAATCTACCCATCAGGATTCCTGGGTGCATTCCGCTTATGTGCACCACCGTGTGTTTGCGTGCGTGTTTGTGCGTCCATCTGCACATTAGTGTTTGTAGGATGTGTTGACAGCGAAGCATGCAGCTTTTTATTTGCTCGAGGGCTGAAAAAACACGTGGCGCTAGCAAGGGAGCGGTGTGATATGAGCCCGCTGAAAGCAACCTGGCCGGCCTGATTGCAAGCCGGGATCACGATTAAACGAAACCTAAACCCAAACCAACAGAGCGGCAACATAAAGCCTATTTATGTTCATACGGGTTTTTATGCAAATGCTAAAATTCCAGATATTTTTAGCTGCGTTACTTGTAATTCTAACACATTTCTCTGTACCAGAGAGCATTTAGCTTTCAGCAAGATATTTGTGCCAATTGAATACTAACATTGGGTTCAACATCTGGCTTTGCTGCAGTGACGGACAGATGTGCTCCAGCAGGCACTGTGACGTCACGGATGGGCGTGGTCACAGGGGCATACGCCCAGGTACACACACAACAGGCGAAGTCAGAGATAAAAGTGTTCTGTCAGCGTGGACGGAGGTTGTTGATTCCTTGAAGTTCAACATTTGGAATATATTCAAGTTCATAACGCTTTGAAAAAAATCTGCACATTTTTCTGACCATTTTTTAAACGTTGTTTCTGATTGAAAAAACATATTTCAATATCTTATTCAATCAAGGGCATGGGTATATCTTATTTTGTTTTATGCATAATGTTCTTCTCCAAGCATGAATATCTCACCTTTACAGGACTGCATTGAGAATGTAAAGCTGACGTAACGCAAACCCCCCTGAACCTGTCGGAGGGGCGGTCGTTATGGCGAGTGTTTTCCTAACGCCGAACCCAAACTATTCAAATCTGTCACCAAAGGAAAACAAAAACAGGCAATAGTAACATCCTTGTTCATCCCTGGCTGGTGTTCGTGTGGCCGTGTGAGATCTGTCTGCAGCTGCCCACCCCTCAGTTTTCACCAAGTGGCAAACAGCGATGAGGTCATTGGGAGATCTGTAGGAACAAGCGCTCCCTCTTCGTCATTTGCTGTCATTCATATCAGATGAACGGGCGGCTTTTGGGCGGGGGTCATACATGCGGATGAAACTCCAGACTAAAAGAATAAGCCCCAGAGAAAATGTGATCTGCACACACGTGAAATACAAGCTTGTTATGATCCTTCTGGCGGAAGTCTTGTGACTAATACATCATGGATCCCAGAGACGTTTTGAGCTGTATGTCCTAAACGTCACATACATACAGAATGTTACACTGGACTCACAGGAGGAATCGAAACGCCGATCTGTTAAAAGAAAACCCTCGTAAACAACCGTGGCTTTTATTTTGTAATGTTCATTTATTGTTCAATAAAAATAGATTCTAAAAAAGTGACGTGACGTCTCCTTCATTTCGCCTGATGGCTCCTTGTAAACATGGGGCTTTACTTTTATTCTTTTCAACTGGAAACAGGAATATAAACCCCCCTCTTAGGATAACTTCACTGACCTTTGACCCCAGCAGTGAGTCCTTTCACATTGAGGGCAGATACAGTACATTCATCCCCTGGTCTTTGTCTATTTACACGGTTTCAGTTTGTGGTAAAAGCTCTTAACAATGTGAATAAAGAGGACGTCTACGCGCTAACACAACAGTTCGAGCCGTTAGAACCGATTACAACTTAAAACAACGGTTTGTCTTCAGACATCTTTATACAGTAGTTGCACATAAACACATCTGGTAAAAGGGGAGGAGCCTCTCCCTGTGACAGCTTCGTCCCGTGAAGCCGAGGCGCTACAGTAACCGAGGCCAGCGCTCCTGGACCTTTCTGGTGCTACATTGGGAAACGCTGCGGGGTCGCTAGAGCGCCGCCATGCCGCTGAGCCCGTGTCGACGTTTTGTGGCGTCGAAACGCTTGAATCATTTGCTGAAAGAACAGCGTGCAGTGTGAGGAGAGGCGTGTTCAGTTTCCACGTGTCGTCTGAAGACGTTCACAGAGAACGTGTTCCCAAAGACGATTATCTGGGTGAATGTAATGCAAACGTAACAAATGTTTGTTACGCTGCTCTTCTCCATCGGTGGGTTTGTTCATTGGCTGAAATGGTTTGTTCACCTCCTCATCATATAGTTAAGGCCTTGCATATATAACTTGAGTTGAAGTCTGTAGAACACGATATGTTATCTCGCCAACTGGAGTCGTCCCTTTGGCCCTTTGGGAGACCCTCTGCAGACGGGTGGGCACCGGCGAACACAACAGAACACTCAACTGGTCAACGTCTAGCACAGCGTGGACTACAGCACTTGAGAGGAACTTAAGTACAATTGTGGAAGGTTAACATGCTCTTTCTCCCTATTAGAAAAACAAAACTCCAGTATTGCTTGTGTTTGCTCTCATGTGAAAATCCAATTAGGCTTATTTTATTTTGTGTCACTTCACAACGCGCGTGTTGGTTAGCTACTACGACTGAGTCGGCAGAGACTTTACTGCTGCAGGAGACATCCGGAGTCCTCCTCCTCCTCTTCCTCCTCTTCCTCTCTCCGTGGCCTGCAGACAGCACAGCGGCCGAGTGACGAGCCGCCGGGCCGGTGGCTTCCTCGAGCCGGGACGCCAGCTGTACCCCTCCCTTCCTCCTCCCATCCTCCCACCTTCCTCCCACCTTCCTCCTCGGCCTCTGGGCCCGGTCCAGGGCCCACATCCCGGGAACACGGGGAGCCGGGCGGCTGCAGGCGACAGCGCCTTGGGAATCACACAATGACAGAGTTCATAGCGGAGGCCGCGCCGCGCCCCCGATGCGCCAGCGTCAGCGCCACTGTCAGACTTTTCACAAATGATTTCTGACGGCAACAGACTCTTATTTGCGTTGTTCCTTTTTGCTCGGTGTCATCGAGGAAGAGACGCGTTGTAGCTGCATCGGTGGACGGTGAGAGATGATAAGAGTTGGGGAGCCGGTTTTGTTCAAATGTTACAGTTTGTTCATTTACCCAAAGAGGACGGCGGCTCGTGTCACACCGTGGTGGCCCGGCCGTGCTTGAGCGCCAGTGGCGAATACTCCTTGATGCGAACGCACAGTTTCCCCCTGAGCCACGGGTTCTGGAGCTCCAGGGGACAGAAGTCGTCCTGGAGCCACTTCTCTCTGTTGTCGACCACCAGCACGAGAGCAAAGTGCTTCAACTGCTCGGGACTGTAGCACACGCAGCGCTCCTGCTCGCCGCCGCCGCCGCCCCCGCTGCCGAGCATGCGCCGCGACACCACGTTCATCTCCTGCACCACCAGCTGCACCATCTCCCGCGCCGACGTTCCCGGAGTGACACAGAGCTGAAAACACAGGAGCAGAAGATCAGGCCAGCGGCACAAACACAAGAACGCCTCCCCCCCCCCGCGCGCTGGACGGCGTCCCGGCGGACCCGTACCTTGACGCTGGTCTCCTTGGGCAGGCCGGTGCGGTACTGCGGGTGCACCCTGAGGGTGGTGTGGCAGCCTTTGCGGAGGGCGGCGGGCGACTGCGAGGAGAGTCTCTGCGTGCCGCTGTCCTCGGACAAAGTACGCGCAGGCGGCAGGCGGCGCTCCGCCGAGCAGCAGCGCTCCACCGACGAGGGCCTGTGCCACCCCCGCCGCGGCGAGGCGCAGGTGGTGTGGTTGGGGTAGGGCTGGTGGGCCGACGTGGTGGAAGGGAACTCCAGGCTGCTGGTTCTCACGCAGAAGGCCTGTCTCTTCTCTGTGATGTGCAGCAGCTCGATCTGCCTGCTGGGCAGGATGAAGTCGCTGTCAAAAAGCTCGGGGCCGCCCCGCCGCCGCTCCGCGCCGCACCGAACGCCGACGCTGCCGTGCGGCGGCTCCGAGGCCTGGAGGACGTCCGGCGCGCGCCCCCCTCCGCCCAGGCACGACCCTCCCCCGGAGCCGCTGCCGTCGCTGCGCAGGAAGCCGCGGGGCTCCAGCGGCGCGGAGGACGAGAGGGGCGAGGGGGGCAGCAGGTCCAGCTCACGGGGGCTCTGAGCGCGGCTGGAGTCGTAGTCGCTGTCGGTGGTGAGGAAGACGTCGGAGGAGCCTTCCTCGTCTGAGAGTCCGGCAAAATCTGCAGGAATACGAGGAAAGGGGCCCGAGGTTAAATAACGTAAAGACAATAACGACGTAACCTCGACGTTTCAGCCGCAGCGGATTCCGACCTGAGTGCTTGCGGCAGGGCTCGGGCGACGGCATGAAGTCCGGCTGGGAGGAGGTGGACGGGGGCTTGTCGGACAACACTTCCTTGGAGAAGTCAACTATCCAGCTTATGGAGAGGCCTCCGGTTGGCTGCTTGTAGCGGGCGTACTGCAGGGCGTCCATGATCCACCTCGCGTCACGCCACACCTCCTCCATTTGCTGCCGCACAGTCAACGGTTGATTTCAGCAATATTAAATGTACGTAATGTATAAATACATATGAAGTTCTGTTACCTGAATGTGTTCCTGGACCTGCTGGTGTTTCTTCTTAGCAGCGAAGAGCTCGGCCTCGGAGAAGGCCTCCCGTAGGGCCTGCTGGGACATGAGGGACTCCAGTTCCAGCAAAGCCGATACTCTGCAGTACTGGCCAATGAAACTGGGGCTGTAGGTGTTGAAGTGGACTGCGGGAGAGGGGGAATCCAACAGGGGACAATTAATGTGCAACCCTGTGCCATTAAACACACAAGGAGCTCATGGATGCGGAAACAGCACTTGGTGTCAGAATTGTGATCTGTGCCAAAAGTCTGATATACTGACCCAGCTCAAAGATCTGCAGGGGCAGCGTGAGGAAGCCAGAGCGGGGGGAGTACGGGTTGTTCTGGCCGGGAGCTGTGCACACTTCGTCTGAAGGTGGGAGGAGGAGCAGGAAGGACACCTTCTCCCCAAACTCCACCACTTCCTGGCTATAGAGACGGAAGTCCTGCATCTGCACACACAGAGACAGGTGACCTCGGGCGGCCTTTGCAACCAGAGGAAAGTTTCTCCACGTCTATATTCCCTCCAGAAACAAATTTTAGGTTTTAGCTCTATATTCTGAATCCTCATGATGATTGTCTAAGTTCTATTAGTGCATCGTAGCCGTCTGCTTAAGTTCTACAGTGTGGGAAGGTCAAAGGTCAAATGGACAATTGTTGCCGGTATTTTGCTGGAATTCAAAACACGTTCTTTTACAGAAACCATGTCGAATTAGTGGTCTAAGCCGAACGGGCTGAACATCCATTGGAACCACGTTCACTCTGGAACTTGGCTGCATCTCTTTCCATCGAGTTTCATCTGGTTCTGGAATCTCAGTCGAAATAAGACCACTCAACAACCGAGCAGTTGGTGAAGAAGAAAATCGCCTTAAATATCCGTGTGTTATGGAACGCCGTGTTTGGGGTGGACCCGGACCTGATTGCCGAGGACGTTGATGTGAGCCATCAGGTCTTTGATGGCGCTGCGCAGGTCCTGTAGGAGGCGATGTGGAGCGCTCTGCTCCTCCTGGTCCATCTCCAACGCCTCCGCCAGGGAGCCGAGAGCCTGCAGCCACTGCCACTCCTCTCTGAAAGCACCGCGCCGTTAATCCACACCGCGGATCTCCAGCGCTCGCAACTCTCGGCCTCGGGCCGCGCACAAAAAACACACACACACACACACACACGCTGAGCCACGACGAGCGGCGGGCGATTCCAACCTGGACACGTTGCTGTTGTCCCGAATTTTGGTGTGACAGAGGACGTTGGGGAGTTTCTGGGGCACCAGCGCTCTGATCTGCTCCACCGATGTGCACAGCTTGAGGTAGCCCAGGTAAAGGCCCGGAGACAAGACCTTCCTGCTGCGCCTGTGATACGCCAGCTTCTCCTGGGGACGGCATGCGGACAGAGACTCGTATCGTATCGTTTGACTGGGCTCGATTGTGTCTCTTTACCCCACGTTCATCCGAATGGTTTTGTTTTCATGTTTTGCTTTTTGTGAGTCCTTCAGAGAAATGTTTAGAGTGGAAGTCAGCACGGCAAAAGAAGCCCCTCTGCACATATTTATGTGTTTCCTCATACAATTTGTTCATCACTGGCCACAAAACAAATATTTCAGTGAATTGTGGTTTTGCCAAAGGGAGTCTCCACCATTGTTTTGGAACCACAAGGCCGAACTAACTTCCACTGGAGACAAAACAGCATTCCAGCCGTGGTATCAAGTGTACCGGGCTGCACAAGAGAAAATCTTGTGGTTTGGTTTCACATTGTGATCTTTCTGAGCAAAAGAGTCACACAGAACTAGTTAGCAAAGATAAAACAACAACGATTAGCAAGATTATCATCGTCGGGACCACAAAGTAGAAATGCAAACGCAACATTCCAATTTCCACTGCCTGAATGACTGGGAAGATTTACATTAATGCTTTTATATATCCAACATTCCGCCTGAAAGCCGGCTTTTAATTGTCATCTTTCTACAAAGACAGTAACAAAGAAAAGAAGAGAGCCATAATGATTATATATAAAGAGTGTTTGCGCAAGCAGCAGTCCTAATCGGAAGCACATTTCAATTTACTTTCCTATTGTTTCAGCCGTGGAGCCTCATGTTTACTGGTTTCGGTCATTGAGAGCTTAAAAAGAGCGATACCAACGCATTAATGTCTCCCAGTGTTTTCGGGGGCATTTTGTTTATTCACAGAGCGCCTCAAACTACGCTGGAACGAAGGAATAAATGATCCCCATAAAAACCACAACCACTGCCGACAAACCCCCCCCCCCCCGGCCGCTTGTCTCCAAAGACAAAAAGCTAAAACATAAAACATTTTCCAAAACCGAAGCATGCGGCCGTTTCCCCCGCGGGACTCACGTGGAGCGTGATGAGCAGCATGTCCAAGGCCGTCGGCTCTTCGGGGGAGGAGATGGACTTGCGTTGGAGCTGCAGCTTGCAAAGCTGCGTCCAGCGGACGCCGTCCAGGTTAGGACAGGCGTTCATGTCCTTCAGCAGCACCAGCAAGGCGTTACCGTGCTTGTCTTTGATTGGCTCAAAATACACCTGACCGAGGTCCTGGGTTCCCAGCATTCCCTGGGGACGGGTGACAGGTAAGAGGGTCCAGACCCAGAGGTCATGAGGCCAGAGGAAACACAACCGCCACGGTGTAAAAAGGAAAATCCTAACCCAAGCTGTCAACTCAGCATCTCCCTACCTGCAGCTGGGAGACGGCCTGCAGCATCTTGAGTCGCGTCTGCAGAGTGCAGGAGCAGGACGACTGGGAAGGACTGAGACACTGCTGCAGCCAGGGAATCTCCTCCCACAGGTAAGACACCTGGCACGTGGAAAACACACACGCTAATCATCAACTGTTGCGCCTGCAGCTGAGAACCAGTAAGCAATGTAACACAGGCAATGTGTTCTATGGAAATTAGTGCAAAAGAAATTGTATTCAATGCATAATTCCAGTTTGATAGTTGATGCCATTTGACAATTATATTCATGTTTTTGCAGTAGCTCGTCAGTCATTTGTTTCTCTTGTCATGTCCGTGTACCTTGGTGAACCACAGGAAGTCCTGCATAAGGGAGCTGGAGTAGGAATCTTCGACCTCCACGATGGGAATCTGGTCCTCCGGAGTCACCAACACGTTGTCGTCTCTGTAGAGTATGGATGTCAGGTAGAGACCCCTGGAAAGGACCACAGGGAAAGTACACGTGATTCCTCCGTCTGTCCTCGGGATCTGACAGTGTTCAGACAGACTACCTTTTACGAAAGAGATGTGTTATTAAACCCAAAAGGTAGCTGGTGCCATAAGAACCATCAAGCCATGCAGTTAGAAGTATATTCTACAATAAATAATGGATAGAATGTGATCTCTTAATGAATGACTACTGAGTGAAAATGGACACGTGAACTGACAAATTCAACATGGCGTTTGCAAAACACACATCGATTACAAAAGTCTCTCATCTACCTCTTCAAGCCTTTAACGAACTTGCTGGTGGGTTGGAAGAGGTGGCGCAGGCTTTTGGACACAGAGTGCTTCCTCCCTTGCGGTGGAGCTTTACACTGTTCTGTGTGGACAGGACGGAGACAGAAGAAGAAGAAGAAGAAGAAGAAGAAGACGTTTGTAAAATCCACAGCGACGTTATAAATGAGCCAGACTGCCTGTGAACGCGCGGACGGCCCCGCTCGGCGCTTAAAAGTCGACGCGCCCGCGGGGCGGGAACCGCGGCGCGACGCCGACGCGGCGGCTGAATGGACGCCTCTGTCCCGGGCCGACTCGAGAGAACGTCTCCCCCTTGTGACGGGCCGTCGCCTAATTGACAGCGAGGCCGACGCGTCCAACAGCGCGGTCGGGGTGGAATGTTTTTCCCGACGCTTCGCGCGACACCATTCGACCGGCGCGCTGGCTGCCAGCGGCAGACTACGGGCCTTGAGGGAACCCGCTAGCTCTCCTGTCCCACAGGGACACTAACGTTGTGTATTTGTATGAGTGTGTGTGCGTGTGCGTGTTTACCTGCACATACTAAAGCTGCTGGACCGTGGAGTGTCTTGAGCTACGGCCTTACGAGTGGAGCCAAGGCACTGCACTAATGTGTGTGTGTGTGTGTTTTAACCCTTTGCCACTCACTGACAGGGAGGTCAGTTGAGTCTGTGGGGACATGTTTATTTTTAGTGGGCCCCCCGAGGCGAGAGAGGGGAGGTGTGTGTGTGTGTGTGTGTGTGCCTGTTGGTGAGATAACGCACCTCCCAGCTCATTAGAAGCCCAAACCCGTCCCTCTCCTCCCCTCCCAGGTGATCGTACTGCAGCCCCGGGCCACTCAAGAGTCAATAAACCCCCCCCATCAGCAC